TAAACCACCTTACCAAATTTACCACTCACTACCACCCTTACCCCATCCCTACCACCCTCTACCCCACTACCACCCCTCTTCCACCATCCTACCCCCCCCTTACTCATACTACACCCTCTCCACCATCTTACCACCCCTTCACATCATACCCCCCTTACACCTCACTACCACCTCTCCACCATCACTACCCCCCTCTACCCCATCATACCACCTTTTCCCCACATCACTCCCACCCTACCCCATCACTACCCCCCTTACCACATCACTACCCCCCTTCCCCATCATACCACCCTCTACCCCATCCACACCACCCTTTTCCACCATCATTACACCCTCCACCATCACTACCACCCCTTCCATCACACTACCCCTCTCCACCATCACTACCACCCTCTACCACCATCACTACCACCCTCTACCACATCCTACCCCCCTCTCCCCATCACTACCACCTCACCACATCACTACCACCCTCTACCCCATCACTACCCCCTCAACCACCATCACTACCACCCTTACCACCATCACTAAAACCCTCTACCACCTCACTACCACCCTCTACCACCATCCTACCACCCTCTACCACCATCACTACCACCCTCTCCACCATCCTCCCAAACCCTCAACACCATCACTACCACCCTCTCCACCATCACTACCACCCTCTACCCCCATCACTACCTACCACATAACCCCATCTCTACCACCCTCCCTTGCACCATCACTACCACCCTCTCCACCATCACTACCACCCTCTACCACCATCACTACCACCCTCTACCACCATCACTAACCCCCTCCACATCATCCCACCCTCTACCACATCCTACCACCTCTAACCACCAATCACTACCCCCTCTATCCACCCATCACTACACCCCTCAAACCCCCATCACTACCACCCCTACCACCATCACTACCACCCTCTACCACCATCACTACCACCCCTCTTCCACCATCACTACCACCCTTTTACCACCATCACTACCCCCTCAACCACCATAACTACACCCTCTACCACCATCACTACCACCCTCTTCCACCATCACTACCACCCTTTTTCCACCATCCTACCACCCCCCTACCACATCCCTACCACCCCTTTTAACCACCATCACTACCACCCTCTTACCACCATCCACCACCCTCTCCAAACCATCACTACCCCCTCTATCCCCTCAATCACTACCCACCTCCTACCACCATCATACCCCCCTACCACCATCACTACCACCCTCTACCACCTCACTACCACCCTCTACCACACACTACCACCCTTCCCACCATCACTACCACCCTCTACACCATCACTACCACCCTCTTCCACATCACTACCACCCTCTACCACCATCACTCCCACCCTACCACCATCACTACCCCCTCTACCCCCAATCACTACCACCCTCTACCACCATCACTACCACCCTCTACCACCATCACTACCACCCTCTACCACCATCACTACCACCCTCTACCACCATCACTACCACCCTCTACCACCATCACTACCCCCCTTTACCACCATCATACCACCTCTAACCATCACTACCACCCTTTCCCCCATCACTCCCACCCTCTTCACCATCACTACCACCCTCTACCATAATCACTACCACCCTCTACCACCATCACTACCACCCTTTCCACCATCCTACCACCCTAACAATCACTACCCCCCTCTATCACCTTTCACTACCACCCCTTCCACCATTCCCCAAACCCGCCCTCTACCACCATCACTACCACCCTCTACCACCCCTTTCCACCCTGCCAATATTTCTGATTGAAATAATATTGGTAGAATTAGCAACAATTTGTAAAGTAAAGCGACACAAGTGCAACTAATGTGACATTTTTATTGTAGCAACATTTCGCTCTCCAGGAGCTTTGTCAAGCTGTTACGGCAGTGGACCCAAGCTACACTTCCAGTCAGACTAGGAGGCATTGGTGTCCGCAAGTCATCACAGATTGCGTTACCTGCTTTTCTGTCCTCGTGTATTGCATCCAGAGAGCTTGTAGCAGCGATTCTCCCTGAACATCTTAGGGACAAGATAAGAGTCCAGGACCAAAAATTCATTGACGGAGCAATGATCTGGGATAATCTAACGGGCTCTGTAGCCAGACCTGGTCCCCCCAACAACTACAAACAATCGCACTGGGATGGTCCAATAGTGGAAAATATTGCCTCAACAATGCTTCAGAGTGTGTCAGAGAAGGATTGAGCCCGCCTCCTGGCAGTGAAGCCCTCATGCTGGGGACTTTTGTTGGTGTTCCAACTCCAGCCTTGGACAGTCTCGACCCAAGACCATCCGATCGGGTTTGCCCTTCGACTTGCCGCCCCCTATTTCCCGAACAAGGTTATTTGTGGCAGTGAGAGCGGGACCATTGGGGTACCATGGTCTTGTGTGCCGTAAATCCGAGGGAAAGATTGAAAGCGATTGGTTTAATAACTTATCAAGGGAGCCTCACAACAGTGGATGCCCAGCAGTAAGGGACCCCCCCAAATGCAGATTAGGCACCCCAGAAGGCCCAGAGGGTATCCCCCTTCAACCCGGGGACAAGGGAAAAGCAGGGGGTGTGGGGACAAAACTGGCATCTCCCTTTGGGCTGATACCTTTCCCCAAATACCCCAGGGAGGAAGGGGGGGCAGCTGCAGCTTAGGGAGTCCCAAAAGTCTAAAAAATAGGAGAACTTTTCCCTCTTTTATTTTGTTCCCATAGGCTCAGGACCCTTGGCTCATGGGGAAAAGTCACTAAATTCCTTAAGGAGCTGGGGAAAAAAAAATCATCAGGAATAGGGGTCCCAGGGCAGCTAGTTTTCTGTTCCAGCGGCTCAGGCGGCTGTTCAAAGGGGTAATGCTGCGTATTTTTGGGGAAGCCCCTTGAGGGGCTTTAAAAGAGATTTTCCCTTATAATCGGTGGACACACGTAACAACAGTACCTATATGCCCCTTTAATAATAAAGTATCTCTTAAAAATTTTGACCTATTTGTAAAAAAAAAAATTCCCATTAAAAAAAAATAAATATGAAAATTTTGGGGGGGGAGGGGAAGTGGAATATTCAAAAAGGCTTCAGGAAAAAATCCAAATATTTTTCCTTGAAGCCTTTTTATCCACTTCTCCGAGCTATGGGGCCCCCACCCGAGGGGACCCCATCCTATTTAAAATATATAATTTATATATATATAATATATAAATAAAATAATATTTTATATATATTTATATATAAAATATATATATATTTTATATATAATATATATAAATTTATATAATTATATATATATATATATATATTATATAAAAATATATAAATACAGCTGCATCACAGTCAGGGTATTCTCTCCCTCGCCAGCACCGAGACCCCCCACTAAACCGGGTTTGACCTTGGCCGGTTCATCACTGCGCAGTCTCTCTCGCAGGTCAGGCTCAAAGAAGAGGCTCCCCAGGCCCAAATCGTCACAGTCAAGAGAAAGAACAAGGCGAGACACAGAAGTTCATCCCTTGCTCACCTGGCTAGACATAGTACACACTGAAAAATTTTCAGTCACAGTAACATAAGTTTTCACCTTTACACCTTTTAAATCAGGATCCCTCCAAACCAAACATTCCTCACTTTTGAGAAGACCCATAACATTGTTGCCTAGTAGTAGGTCAACAACTGGAATAGGCAAATCATCTGCAATACCTACAGGCAGGTACTCAGACTGGTAAACAGACTCCACCCACAATCTATGTACAGGAGTCCTAACAGTGGTTCCTGAAAACTCTTTTAAAAATATATCTTTTCCAGTGTAAGCATCCTCTGACACTGGTAAAGCATCCTTGCCTACATCCATCCCTTAAAGACATAACACCTTCTACCCTACCTTCATTTTGGTGCAAGGTCACTGTGGACTTACTTGAAAAGACCTTCATCCGAGGGTCTAAAACAGCTGAATTTTCTGGTGTACTCTGGGGTAAAACTGCAATACAAGCTACTGCATGTGTACCTGGGGTACTTGAGAGTTCTGTGCAGCAGCCTGGTCCTGAAGCATCTCTCTGCAATACTGCTGTACATGACCCTTCTTATCACAGTAAGTATAATGATAAACATTAAGGGTACGATGCCCACCTGAGACAGACTGGATTTCTTGGCCTTGGGGAACTGGGCTTTCCTACCAGTTCTCTGATTTCTTGAAACTAAATTTAACTTACTACTTCCTTGAGCAGGTAACTGAGTAGACTTTAATCCCTGGGAACCAGGATTATGGTGCTTAGTAGGCTGAAAATTCTTTGGATTATGAGGCTGGAAAAAATTTATCTTAAACATGTGAAATTTCTTACTCCTCCTAGTTGGTGGAGAAAAATTATTACCATCATCTGGGTGATAACTACTTCCAACTTTCTGGTTGCCTAAAAACCTTTCACCCAACTCTAGAGCATGGTTAAAATTATCAAAATCTTTTTCCTCAGGATATGCCTTAAGGTCAGGAGGTACACTGTTTAAGAGATCCTCTAGTAAAATTAAAGTCAATACACCTTCATAATCACCTACAACATCCTTGGAGCGGCACCACTTCGTCAGCAGCAACATCTTCTCATTTCCATACTCCACCAAGGATAGTCCTTTCTTAAACCTTAACTTAAATTTCTGCCTATACCTCTCGGGCAATATCCGATAAGCTAATAACACAACATCCTTCATCTTCTCATAATTTGAAAATTCATGTTCCTCTAGAGAACTAACAGTTTGTAACCCTTTACCAATTAACTGAGTTCTAGCTAATGTGGCCCAGTTATTGTCTGGTCACTTATGGGATTTTGCTGTTTTTTTTTTTTTCAATGTCAAAAGTTATCAGGATCAGTTTCAAAAAAATTTGGGACAAACTTAATAGCATGTTCCAAATTAAAAATGTCTACCATGTTGCCTGTTACATTTTGTGAAGCAGCAAACTGTGTCTTTCTTTCTCTCATTAGCCCTAAAAAAATCTAACTCTTCCTCTTCCTGGATTTTAGTACGTTCAATCCTTCTCAGAACTTTTTCTTCCCTAATTAGAGCTAATTTTAGCCTCAATATCTCTACTTCATTACTCTCAGTAATAACAGTGGGGTTTGATCCAGGATCTGCTCCCAGACACCTGTCACCGCTAGAATCTCTACTACTTACAGACATCTTAGAAATTAAAAGTACAAAACACTTGCCTATTATAGTAGAAATCACTTATATAAAATAATAAATCACACAGCAAAGCACATAGGTACATTAAATGATTATTATATGCACAGAATTATTATTAAATAACTCCCTAAATCACTAAATGTGCACACGAAAATCAGGAAAAAAAATTATTACACCTGAAAAGAGTTACTACTAATAATACTTCCTTGAAAGACTCTCCAGGTTTCAAATGTGAATTTTCATTCTTAAACCGTGATAATTCTTCACTGCAGGACCCTATGTTACGGCTTTGATGTCCTAACAGTGCTCAACATGGCCGACACGGCAGGTTGTGTAGCGGGCTAGCTGCGGGATTTTCAAGGATAGCTCCTGGTCAAAGAGGCTGAACAGGTCCCTACTTAACAGAACTCAGTGTGAATGCTTTGAGAAGATACCAGAGCAGCGAACGGACATCCCAGTGCATCGTTTCAGCGTAAATAGTTGAAGTGTTGTGCAGTTTCAGAGAATTTGGTGTTGTCGAGTCAGGACCAGTCAGCGCCTCCCCCCATCTCCGCTGGGGGGGAGGGGGAGGGCGTGTGTAGTAAACAGTGACCCTCTCATAACGCCTCACCCCTGCGGTTCTCCCCCGCCTCACCCACCCAACTCCCAGCGCCACCCCATCTGTAGAGGGTACTTCTCCCCTAACCCACGATGTCAGCGATGGCACTGCAGGGAGTGCCGGGCTCACAGGAACTTCCACTACAGGGACAGCATCGTGGAGTTCGACCGCGAGGCAGCTGTCAGGTGTGCCACAGGCAGTGTGTACTCAGTTCCTCAAGCTTCAACATCCGTGCACACGAGGGCCTGGGATCTTCAATCAACTTGGCGTCCACCAGGACGCTGACATGTCCCTAGGGGAGCTCTCCATCGGGCTGCTAACGGAGTCACTGGATTCTTGGACCTCTTGGGGAGGGTCGATGGTGCTCGTGCAAGCAGCAGATCCCTGGGCAACTTGCTGCTGTTTGCAATGGCTGTCTACCGAGGAGAGACAGGCACCTAGCAACATCTGTTGTTGGGGCAATGGATGAATTCCCTGCTATGTTTGTTAACTGCTCATTACTCTGTAATTTGTCTATGATTGTAATCATGTAATAACGTGTTTATCATTCATTACCTTTGAAACTTGTCATGATTTTGACCAGCTCTACCTGGAGCTCATTACCTTTGTAAATTCTCATGATTAATGTGTTTATGATTCATTACCTTTGCAATTATTCATGAGTGTGACCAGCTCTACCTGGAGCTCATTACCTTTGTAACTTGGTCATGATTATGACCAGATCTAGTTCATTACCTTTGTAACTTGCTCAGCTATCAAAACTTTGGAGTCCAGTCCCTGGACCAATTATGTACCTCTGTAATCTTTTGACTACCGCCCACAGGATGGGTATGGGGTGCATAATAAACATATTAAACTTACTGTCCTAACTAGTAAAGTAAAAGGACACAAGTGCAACTAATGTGACATTTTATTGTGGTAACGTCTCTCTCTCCAGGAGCTTTGTCAAGCCGTTACAAACAGTACATGGATACAGAGGGTATATATAGGCTTAGAGTGAGGTGCAGTACTAGTAGTAGTAGTAGTGATATAATTTGTAGTAGTGATACAATATGGAAGAACAATTAACTTGCACATGAGTAAAAGCATATAAAATCTATTACTTGGGTAGCATAAAAATAATAGGTTTGCTGCTCCCTGTGTATTGTCTATCAGCAATCATACATTCACGCCGCAGAGAAAGCTGTCATTTCTTAGTGAGAATTAAAGTAAATAATCCTCTTCTTTCTGTTGACTTTGGATACAACTCTGGCGGTTTTAGAAACGAACGGAAGTACCTATCAGCTTCCTCTACTCCCCCCTCCCTCCTTTACCTCACTTATTCACACACACAAACACGTACACGGGGCCAGGCGCTGCGATTCGACCCCTGCAACCACAAATAGATGAGTACACACACTAGCGACTAACAAAGTGGCGGGGCCAAGAGCTATGAATCGATCCCTGCAACCACAAATAGGTAAGTACACACACATATATAAGGAGAGAAATAAAATCTTAAAAAATCAACCAAGAACTTCAATAACAACATTTTCTGATTCAGAATGGAAAATATTTTAAACATTCTTACAGAAATACTTGATTATAGATCACAGTGACCTGGTGGCTAAGGCTCTCGCTTCACACGGCACGGGTCTGGGTTCGATTCCCAGCGAAGGTAGAAACAGTGGGTGTGTTTCTTTACACTGGTTGTCTGTGTTCACCGATCAGTGAAATGGGACCTGGGAGTTAGTGGACTGAACATTAAAATGGTATAAAATACCGACAGGTTGTTAGGTAAGACACATATGCAACAGTTAGGTATCTTTATTATGAAACGCTTCGCCTACACAGTAGGCTTCTTCAGTCGAGTACAGAAAAGTTGATAGAAGCAGAAGATACTTGAAGACGATGTAATCAGTCCATCACCCTTAAAGTTTTGAGGTATGAAACAATATGATATTGTTTCATACTATGGAACAATGCTCTTCTCCAGACTGAGGGACTGACCACCTCAAAACTTTAAGGGTGATGGACTGATTACATCGTCTTCAAGTATCTTCTGCTTCTATCAACTTTTCTGTACTCGACTGAAGAAGCCTACTGTGTAGGCGAAACGTTTCATAATAAAGATACCTAACTGTTGCATATGTGTCTTACCTAACAGTTAGTGGACTGGTGTAGGTCGCATCCTGGGACAAAAGTGACCTAATTTGCTAGAAATGCTCTGTATAACAAGCGGCTTTCTATAGAGTAGTATATCATTGATGTCATCTAGGCTTGTATACCTTGTACATGTACTTGTAGTAAATAAAATTATTATTATTATTATTATTATTAGTCTGCGTAAGTGTCATCGCGTTACGAAAGACGTCACGATGTAAAGTCAATCACATTTTTCCGTCTAGTTCCTTAATGACGTATTTCAGCTTTGCAATCACCATCTGGATATCCTTCTCCGTAACGTCACAATGAACTACCAGTCGGACTGCAGAGTCGGTGATGGGTAGGATGCGAGCCACGACCCTTTGCCCTGTAGCTTCAGCTTCGTCATCGCTTACCTGAAGAAGAAAACGGGCACAGAAAAAGCATTACAGAAAATGAAAATTAAGAGAAGTACAGTAAACAACAAAAAGGCACAATACAGTGACTGGAACGATACACAAATATCCCGCACATAAAAGAGAGAAGCTTACGACGACGTTTCGGTCCGACTTGGACCATTGACAAAGTCACACTGTGTGACTTTGTCAATGGTCCAAGTCGGACCGAAACGTCGTCGTAAGCTTCTTTCTTTTAGTGCGGGTTATTTGTTAGTAAGACCATATGCAACAGTTAGGTATCTTATTATGAAACGTTTCATAATAAAGATACCTAACTGTTGCATATGTGTCTTACCTAACAACCTGTCATATTTTATTACCATTTTATGTTCAATCTGTCAGACACTGCAACACAAGGGTATCTTGGTACAGACCTGCAATCAACTTCGACAACTTCCACTGTGAGAGAGGGCTGGATTTGAGAGGGACCTGACCTTTCAACATCTGAGTTCTTACCTCTCCTAGTGGCTACGTCTCACCTCTTGGCGCTATAAAAAGCTCCATCTGTCACTTCTTCTCCATATTGTTTCATACTATGGAACAATGCTCTTCTCCAGACTGAGGGACTGACCACCTCAAAACTTTAAGGGTGATGGACTGATTACATCGTCTTCAAGTATCTTCTGCTTCTATCAACTTTTCTGTACTTGACTGAAGAAGCCTACTGTGTAGGCGAAACGTTTCATAATAAAGATACCTAACTGTTGCATATGTGTCTTACCTAACAACCTGTCGGTATTTTATACCATTTTAACGGGTTATTTGTGTAGAAGTACAGTAAACTAAAGAATGCGCTTCAAGAGCAGGGCCTTACAACAAGTTGTTATTTTGGCTTTAAGAGATAAGATAAGATTTCGATCGAATTTTTAACCCCGGAGGGTTAGCCACCCAGGATAACCCAAGAAAGTCAGTGCGTCATCGAGGACTGTCTAACTTATTTCCATTGGGGTCCTTAATCTTGTCCCCCAGGATGCGACCCACACCAGTCGACTAACACCCAGGTACCTATTTGCTGCTAGATGAACAGGACAACAGGTGTTGTCCTGTTCACCTAGCAGCGTGTCGAAATGTTTCCACCCGCCGGGAATCGAACCCGGGCCCTCCGTGTGTGAAGAGGGAGCTTTAGCCACCAGGCCAGTAATGAAATATTACAATTTAGCACAATTTAAAATAATAAAACTGAAACAATTTTAGGTTTGAAGTAATGTTTAAATAGTTAATCAATCATCAAGCACAATTTGCAATAATAAAATTGAAGCAATTTTAAGTTAGTTCGATTCCCGGCGGGTGGAAACATTTCGACACGTTTCCTTACACCTGTTGTCCTGTTCACCTAGCAGCAAATAGGTACCTGGGTGTTAGTCGACTGGTGTGGGTCGCATCCTGGGGGACAAGATTAAGGACCCCAATGGAAATAAGTTAGACAGTCCTCGATGACGCACTGACTTTCTTGGGTTATCCTGGGTGGCTAACCCTCCGGGGTTAAAAATCCGAACGAAATCTTATCTTATCTTATCTTAAACAGTCATAAATTATTTAGGAGTGTTTTGAGCAATGAATTCCAGATCTTTGGACCCTTTATGTGCATAGTATTTTTGCAGAGGGAGAGACGGACACGAGGGATATCGAAAAGTGATTTGTGCCTTGTTTTATGCCTGTGTTCTGTTGTAGTTATCAAGGAGGAGTTTGAGAGGAGGGTTAATGTTGGAGTACAGTATTCTGTAAATGTAGTAGGCACAATAATAAGTGTGGATATTTTGCATATTAAACACGATAAGGTTCATTAAAGCGGTGGAGTGTGCTGCCTAGCGCAGGAGTTGGTAATCAATCGCACAGCAGATTTTTGTTAGGTTATTAAAGGTTTAAGGTGATTTTCTGTGGTTGAGCTCCATGCACAAATACCATAGGTGAGGTAAGGGTAAATATGAGAGTGGTAATGAGCAAGAAGAGCTGTTTGGGGTACATAGTATCTTTGAAAGGATGCCTACTGTTTTGGAGACTTTCATGGATATATGCTGTATGTGAGTCTGGAATCTGAGACTGCAGTCAAGGTGGAGACCTAGAAATTTGCCCTCTGCATGTCTTGCAATGGATGATCAATTTATTAATATGTTTACCTGTACATTTGAAGCTCTAATTACAAATTGCATGAAGTAGGTTTTGTCTATATTAAGCGTAAGTTTGCTGGTAGTCATCCAAGTAGATATTTTTAGTAGTTCGTCATTTAAAGTATCTGTTAATATAGTTGGGTTTGGGTGAGAGAAGACATAAGTAGTGTCATCTGCAAATAAAACGAGTTTAAGAAGTTCAGATGCGTTTGGGAGGTCACTGATGTAAATGAGAAAGAGAAGTGGGCCAAGAACACTCCTCTGTGGGACTCCAACAAGAACAGGTTGTGTAGTGGAGTTAATGCCTTTTGTGTATGCAGAGGGATTCAAGGAGGCTAAAGTTACTCCTATCTTTAAGGAAAAACAGTAGGTAGTATTCTGGATCACTTATTATTTTTATGTTACGTGAATGATATGCCCATCAGTATAGAGTGTTAGCTTTTGTTGTATGCAGACAACAGTGTTCTTCTAGTCTCAGATAAAGACCTACAAGATAGAGCTAATATATCACTGGAACTAGAAACCTGCAGCAAATGGTTAGTAGACAATAAACCCTTGCTACACCTCGGGAAAATAGATGCCATACTATTTGGCGTGAAAAAATATGCTGAAAAAGTTAAATGCTTTTAATGTCCATTATAATGAGGAACCAATCATTCCATTATCTCCAGGGAAATATCCGGGGAATTTCTTTTGACGTAAGCATGCCAGGCTAAAGTTCCTGAGGCTCACAGGACCTTATGTCTAGCTCTTATACACATGTAGATTTTTCTTGTTCTTCGTGGTACTCTCCTTTAAAAAAAAAAAAAACAAAAAGAGACTATAAATCAAAACAAAATAGTGAGATTCATCCTGGACCTTGGTTACCGTGATCATGTAGGCGAGGATGAATTAAACAATTGGATATACTGAATGTTGAAGACAGAGTAAAACAGTTGAAGTTAAACCGTAAGAAAGGGATAGTTGAAGAAGTAATCTTTTACGAAGATACAATTTCATTGTACTAAGTATTGCATATCTCCTTACACAAAACAAGTAAGTATTGGGCTTCCAACCTTCTGAAAATATGTATTTTCTAATATTAACATTTGCATGTTTGTGCAGTATAAATACAAGTTTTTATCTCGTATGTTATTTATGATAGTATTACCAACTAGGGACAAGATAATGTTAATAATTTTTTATTATCCAATAAAAATATTTTCTTTCAGTTTCACATTCCCAGGAGCAATATATAATAAAATAATGTTTTATATACATTTTTTTGTGGCTCTTCTCTGCTTGTATGCCTTGACACACGACTGTTTATAATAATAATAATAATAATAATAATAATAATAATAATAATAATAATAATAATAATAATAATAATAATAGTTATAGAATCAATTAAAGTTACGCAAAATACTTATGGGAAGCGATGCAGCTGTGAACGGAATTTTTTTTCTGTTTCTAGTTACATTCTGTAATTTTGTTGTTTAATATAATTTGCTACTAAAAATAATTATGCCTGGCAATAAGACTAGAAAAAAGTACTAGAATTTGTAACATGAGGGAAGACAGATATAGGCACAGAAATAAATTATGTTAATTATTAGTTTTGGTGTATGTACCTCCAAGGTCAATCTTTTGTGTGAATAATGACCCCATCAAAATACCTGGTCCGAGAAGCTTACCTGACTCATCCTATGACACAGGTCCTGCGGAGTCACTATCTTGGGGTTGCACTCCAACAGCAAGATATTTGTATGAGCTCCCTGGGGATCGCAGCAGATGACTTGACTCCCAGTTTCCACCATAGCTGTGAAGGTGAGGGGAGGAGACACAGTAAATTAATTTTAAGCCTCACTAAATTCAGTTTTGTTAATGATTCAGGTCAATCAGTTGCACGAGGGTCATAATGGATGCGTATCACCTATACAAGTCAATAATATTTTAATCCCTTAAATAGACTTTTGAATAAACTCTTATGAGAGACATATGCCTAGGTGTATATACTGAGACATTCAACTAGGTGTTCATATCCTGTGCTGCCTCACTTGGTCTCTCTAGTGTTTTTGCACTCACTAGAGCGCTCCCAGGGATTTCCTTCTGACTTTGTCGTGAGTGGTAGGAAATTTTGGAGTCTTTCCGCTCTTTGGTGTTCAGACGAGAATTGTCGTCGGGTTTGGTGAAGGCTGAGCCCATTGTCAGGATCAAGCAGAGGTTCTGAGGTAAGTCCACGGGCGTGCCGGGGTCAGAAAGGTGTTGTAGGAATCAGGGACTCGAAAAAATGCAAAACATGAATATTACTATTCATGATTAAGTGGTTCTTTTTTAATTTTTTCCAAAAAAGAGGGGGAAGCGAGACAGGACTGAAGGGAAAAAAACATATTCCTGGAGAGTTGTCTGCTGCACTGACTGCTCCAACGAAAGAGCTTAGCGATCCGAAGCGCCAGGAGTCGTAACTCTTTGGCGCAGCCCCGCCCCAAGTCCAAAGGCAAACTTTACCGTATTGAAGAGCGTATTGAAGAGCAAGACACATGTGCTACAGTTGGGTATCTTCATTGTTGATTGAAACGTTTCGAATACACAATAGGCTTCTTTAGCCAAATACAGAGGCAGGAGACATAGTAGCAAAATAAAGATGTTGTAACCAATCCATAAACCTTGAAGAACTAGTTTTTCAGGTTGTCAATCCTTCATCCAGCAGAAGTGTTCATCATTGATACTGCGCCTCCTCCTGCCTCTGTATTTGACTGAAGAAGCCTACTGTGTAGGTGAAACATTTCAGTGAACAATAATGATACCCAACTGTAGCACATGTGTCTTGCTCTTCAACTTGTCGGTAACATGTATTTTTTTCAATACGCTAGAGTTTGCCTTCGGTTCCTGGGGCGGCGCTAAAGAGTTACGACTCCTGGCGCTTCCGATCGCTAACCTCCATTGTTGGCACAGTCAGTGCGGCATACAATTCAAGGGCGTCGAGCATGCCCCAGACATTCTAGTTCCCTCATCACGACAGTACCACCACCAGGGTCATGCTACAACGTCATCAGCAGTGATATCTTTTCCTTCCACATAGGAGATACAATTTATGTGGGGGAAAAGGTCACCAATAAAGAGGCAGGGTGTAGAGAGGAGGGGCATTTAGATTTGATCCGAGGAAGGAGACAAGAGGTCGAATTAAGAGCCCCTTCACCACACTAAGAGACTATTCGACCTCTGAAGGAGATGACTACCCACAGATACATCATGTATGCGGCCTGCACACTATCACGTACACGGTTACGAAAGAGCCAGGATAAGCCTGTGGTTCATCCAAAGGTGCAGGGAGGCCAAAACCAAGTGTGCTAAGAAATGGAAGAAGTATAGAAGACAAAGGACCCAGGAGAATAAGGAGACCGGTCGTAGAGCCAGAAATGAATATGCACAGGTAAGACGGGAGACCCAAAGGCAATATGAGAATGGCATGGCAGCGAATTCCATATCTGACCCAAAGATATTGTACAGCCACATCAGGAGGAAAACAACAGTCAAAGACCAGGTAATCAGGCTGAGGAAGGAAGGAGAGTAGGTCACAAAAAACGACCGTGAAGTATGTGAGGAGCTCAAGACATTCAAAGAAGTGTTCACGGAGGAGACAGAAGGGACTCCAGAAAGGCAGAGAGGTGGGGTACACCAAGTGTTGGACACAATACATACAACCGAGGAAGAAGTGAAGAGTTAAGCGAGCTAAATATCTCAAAGGCGATAGGGCCGGATAACATCTCTCCATGGGTCCTGAAAGAGGGAGCAGAGGCGAGGTGCGAGGTTCTGACCAGAGCTTTGGGGAAGGAAGAAGGATGGGGAAGGAAGAAGGATGGGGAAGGAAGAAGGATGGGGAAGGAAGAAGGATGGGGAAGGAAGAAGGATGGGTAAGGGAGGAATGTGGGAAAGGTTTGGGAGGGTGGAGGGGGAGGTGGGGTTTTAAAGGTAAGTGGCCTATCCACTTTGGTGCAATTTAAATAATGTGTGCGTGTATGTTGTGTTACTCGTGAAAAAGTTGAGTTTACAAGATAGGTATACCTCCTGCCCGTCCACTGCACACCACTATACCAGCTGTATACCGGTGTGCCACTGAATTGGATGTATACTGTTTGCAATTGCCTTTTTTGCACAAGAGGTCGGTCGTAAGGCTGCAGCTGCAGGTGGTAGTTGCAGGTCGTTTGATGGAGGTTGGTTGAATCTGGTGCCAGTGATAAAGTGGAGGGCTCTGTTTTGGACTCTTTGGAGTTTTAGCATGTTGGTTTTAGTTGTTAGTGACATGGGTACACAAGGGTATTCTAGCAGAGGTCTGATCATTATCTTGTACAGGTGTTTCTTGATGTGGGAGAGGGCTACATTGAATGGGAAAAGTTGACCAAGGCGGGGATTTGCTAGGTTCAATTTTTTGGATATGTGGGATGTAGAGTGGAGTAATCTGTCGATCTCGTACCCTAAGATCTTGTTTGGATTACTGATAGCGATTTGTGTACCTCTGATGGAAATGCCCCATTTGTCTTCTATGGCTGATGCTAAACAGCCGATGGTGCTGAGGAGGACTCTCCATTTTTTCTCCCACTTAACTGTTCTCCTTAGTTCTTCGTTCATTTTCTCTATTGCTCTCCTATGTTTGTACCAGAGATGGGGGTTGTAGAGACTACATGGATAACATCATCTGCAAATTGGGTGATGATGGTATCATTGTGTTCAGGCTGGGGTAGATCGTTGACATATATTGAAGAGCATAGGGTTGAGGTAAGAGCCTTGTGGTACTCCAGCTGTCAGCGTGAAGGGTGTTGCTGCCGTACCATGGAAGGTGGGAATGATACTTCTACCTGTTAAGAAGTTGTATACGAGCCTGAGAAAAGTCCAGTTGTGAAATGGGAGGTCTGCAAGTTTGAAAACGAGTCCGTCGTGCCATAGGCTGTCGAAGACCTTGTATACGTCCCTAATTGCAATCAAGGCCAGGTTCACTTGCTTCCTCAGGCTGGCCACGGCATCAAAGATAATATTTATCGCATGTTGTGTGCTGCAGTGCGACCTGAAGTCGAACTGCCTTTCAGAGAATAAGTGGTTGAAATCCATGTAGTAGTTCAGTCTGTTAGAGATTATTCTTTCGAAGACTTTGCCGGTGACTTCGAGTAAGGAGATGGGCCTGTAGTTCTCGGGATTTCGGTTGTCCTTGTTCAGTTTGGCGATGTAGATCATCCTTGCCGTCTTAAATGCCACTGGGAAATGTCCTGATGCCAAGATGGCATTGAAGACATTCCCCAGCAACATCTTACAGTTACGGGGAAGGTACTTTAATTGTTTAGCTGTTATGCCTGATGGGCAAGGTGCTGTGTTTCTCATTCGGCCAATGACTTGGGACACTTCCCTGAGAGGGAAGGGTGTTCGTTTCCGAGAGAAGCTGTGTCAATTGATGGTATAGGATGGAGGTCTTCCAGGTTGTCGTCTCGCCATTGGTTGACCACTGGTAGTGGTTATTGTTAAATCTTCTGCTGCCATTGTGTGAGAGAATGTTCTCCTATACCTCTCCCATCAGCTTAGCTTTATCATGTGGGTCTTCGAGCAGGGTAGTCACTTCCTTGCCGTCTTCGTCGGTGAAGGATTGTGTAAGGTGTGTGTGTTTAGCCCCTAGGAGTCTACGGATCTTACTCCAGAATTGGTCTGGGTGGCACTTACACTGGTTTGCTTGTAGCGCCAGATATTTCCATAAATCTCTTTTATGTTGGGTTATTAGGGTGATTAGATCTCACCTCATTCTTAGTAGCACATCCCGGGTGGGCTGCTCTGTGTGGAAGTGTCTACTACACTCAATTTGGTAGTTATTAATTTTGTTCTTGATTTCCCTGATTTGTTTGTATTGTTGGTAGATCCTGGAAGTTGTTAGTGCCCAGCATGCTTGTGTGGCCTCACTGATTCTGGCATGGAGGGAGTTAACTGCCCCATCTATTGCAGTGGAGGGATGGTCTTCGAATGAAATAGTTTGGCCATTTTCTAAGAAGGCCCTGTAAAGGTCAAAGTCTAGTGTTTTCAGGTTGGGTCTGGGGAGGGTGAGTGTCCGGAACGGTGAGGATTGGAGTTTGATTATGACGGGGATGTGGTCTGAACCGACGTCACCACCTGGGGAGACTACAGTGAAACAGGTCACAGTCTCTGTTGGTAAGTACTATGTCGGGTGTTCCTGGGTGGTGGTCCATGAATGACTTAAAGAATGGGCCTTGGAATGTTAAGTCTTTCGCTGCCGTTATGTTGAATAGTTGTTTCCCTTTGTGGTCCCCTTGGGGATGGGCGGCACCACATTTGAAGAGAGCGGGGTGGTGGGCGTTGAAGTCCCCTGCTAAGATGGTAGGGATATTTCTACTGAGTAGTCGGTGTAAAGGAATAGATTCAATGTATGGTAGTCTGGGAAGAGAGTACTCTGTCCCCACTATAAGTCGCCTGTGTGATGTTGACACGTCTATTGCTAAGATGTTGTCCTCGTCGACATGCATATTGTGAAATTTATGCACCTGCTTCACTAGGATTGGCCACCCTCACTGTGGGGCCCCCTGGATTTCTCGAGAGTTGTGTACCCATGTAGCTTTATATGTTGGTCATGTCTGGCTGCTGTTTCATTTAGAAGGATAATGTCTGGATTGTGGTTACAGTGCTCTATTTCAAGGAGATAGCGGTTGTTGAAGTGTTGGAAGTTGATTTGCAGAATCGTGACCCCCATTGTTTTACGTGTTTAGCAAGCGCCATTTGCTACAAACAACTCATTGAGGATGGTGCAGCAGAGGTGGTCATCACCCTCGGACCACTCTTCGGCCAGCATGAAGTAAGCAGTGCTCTTCATTACCCCTTCTTGGATGAGCCCAGTAGGGATAGAAGGGAAAACCTTGGGATTGGTGAGGGCCAGGAGTCGGGTAGGGGTGGGGGCTGGGTGGGTGGGGTTCCACGCATTGTTTTGTGAAGCAGTGGCAATAGGGGCATTACCAGAGCTCAGTAGGTTGGAGAAAGATTCATGTGAAATAGTGAGAGGAGACTGCGTGGTCTTTTTTTTTGGCACTGGCCAGTTTTTTGTTTTCAAGGATTTTCTGGACTTCAGACTTCCCGACAGGGCGGCTGGGTGAGACAACATGGTGTTTCCCACCACAGAGGGTGCACCTGGGATTGCTCCTGTTGGGGCATTCCCTGTATGCGTGACCACCTGCGCAGATACTGCAGACAGTTTTCTCGAGGGTGCACTTGTTCGTGTTATGGCCGAAGTGATAGTACTTGAAGCATTGGGTGATGGTGACAAACCTCTCCATACTGACCTGGTCAGGTGTGTATTTTGTGCCAACACATTTCAAGCCATGTTCACAGACGAACTTGACTCCCTCAGGTGTCTCGAGGATGAGTTTTAGCGATTGTTGGTTCGCAGAGTTCTTGGCAAACTTGTAAGCCTTGAGTTATCTTGGTTGATCCCCTCAACAAATTCAACATCAGTATACTCACACATGATGCTGTTGATGCGTGCAACAAACACTGAGCACTATGCCTGGAAGTTGTCAGGTGGGATGGGGGAAATGCTCTCATTGGTGAGCTTGTCTAGAACGTCTCTCTTTAGTAGTTGGAGTAGCTCTTCTTCCGAGGAGAGCAGTAGTACTGCACCAGAGTGGGTTGTGAATATATCCACAGGTGCAATGGTGGCATTGCTACAATGCAGTCTAAAATATCCCTTTTGGATTTTGGGTCACCAGTGACCCGAAGTCTGACTCTTATATTGGACATTATGCCCAGCTAAATTAAAGCTGACGCAGATAATTTGCTGAAAAGAAAACAATTGTGTGTATCCTGCATCCTATTTCAGCTGACTTACGAAGGTCAGTCCCTAAGATAGCCTACCCTCGAGGGAGTGAGGGGGACGGAGCCTAGGAAAAGATCGGCCGGATTTTAAAAAACCTCACGGGCTACTGGATGGTCAAAATGCCTTGTTTTAAGTCGTCAAGGGCGAAGTTGCCGAAAAAAAAGAAAACAGGAAAGTTAGAAGGATAGCAGTGTGATGAATGTGTTATGTGGATAGGGCAGTGTATTGGTTTGGGTACTAGGTGGGTGGGATGGGGAAGAATGAGGTTGGGGGATGGTGGGAGGAGAGAGGGAACGAGCAGGCTAGTCACCGCCTTACCCACTAGAAGGGATGGGGCACGAGAGAGCAGCAGCCCCGAGCGGCTCGGTACTCATTGTGATTGGTCAATGCGGCGACCAACCAGAGGAAGCCTCAACTCGAGGATATGGCGTTCCCACTCAGATCACTAAAACCCAACATATTTCTTGGGTTATCCTGAGTAATCTAGAGCTGAGAGGAAAACTTGCATGCTGAGAAGCGCTTTGTGTACCACTAACAACTATCTTCAACACATCTATCGAAACAGGACGACTACCGGAAGTATGGAGGACAGCAAACGTAGTCCCAGTTTAAAATAAAAGAGACAGACACGAAGCATTATACAACAGACCAGTGTCACTGATATGTATAGTATGCAAGGTCATGAAGAAAATTATCAAAAGAGTGGTAGAGAATCTAGAAAGGAATGAGCTTATCAACAACAGCCAGCACGGTTTCAGGGACGGGAAATACTGCGTCACAAACCTTCTGGAGTTCTATGACAGAGTGACGGCTGTAAGACAAGAGAGAGATGGGTGGGTAGACTGCATTTTCTTGGACTGTAAGAAGGCGTTTGACACAGTCCCACACAAGAAATTAGGCAGTGATAACAAGGCACTACAATGGATCAGGGAATACCTGTTAGGAAGACAACAGCGAGTCATAGTTATGTGGCGAGGTGTCAAAGTGGGCGTCTGTAACTAGCGGGATGCCACAGGGATCAGTCCATCAGTCCTAGGACCGGTGCTGTTTCTGGTATTTGTGAACGACATGACGGAAGGAATAGAATCCAAAGTGTCCCTGTTTGCAGATGATGTGAAGTTGGTGAGAAGAATTAAATTAGATGAAGACCTGGCAGCACGACAGAGGGATCTGGACAGGCTGCAGGCCTGGTCCAGCAACCGGCTCCTAGAGTTTAACCCCACCAAGTGCAAAGTCATGAAGATTGGGGAAGGGCAAAGAAGACCACAAACGAAGTACAATCTAGGGGGGATCTTGGTGAGTGCATAACACCGGGTAAATCTCCTGAAGCGCACATCAACCAAATAATTGCTGCAGCATATGGGCGCCTGGCAAACCTAAGAACAAATATTCCGACATCTAAATAAGGACTCATTCAGGACCCTGTACACTGTGTACGTTAGGCTCATATTGGAATATGCAACGCCAGTTTGGAACCCTCACCTAGCCAACCATGTAAGGAAACTAGAGAAAATGCAAAGGTTTGCAACAAGACTAGTCCCAGAGCTAAGGGGTATGTCCTACGAGGAGAGGTTAAGGGAAATTGACCTGACGACACTGGAAAACAGGAGAGACAGGGGGAATATGATAACGACATATAAAATACTGAGAGGTATAGACAAGGTGGAAAGAGACAGGATGTTCTAGAGATGGGACACAGCAACAAGGGGTCACAGTTGGAAGTTGAAGACTCAGATGAACCATAGGGATGTTAGGAAGTATTTCTTCGGTCAAAGAGTTGTCAGGAAGTGGAATAGCCTGGGTAGTGATGTAGTGGAGGCAGGATCCACACATAGCTTTAAGAAGAGGTATGATAAAGCTCATGGAGTGACCGGGTAGCGGCCAGTTGAAGACGCGGGGCTGGGAGCTGTGATTCGACCCCAGCAACCACAACTGAGTACAACTAGGTGAGTACGAGCCTGCACACTATTACATGGCTACATGTGTCTATCAGGTGCACGTACCTACACTGTTCACCTACCAAGTGCAATCTGGCACTTCCTTTCAACTACTTGCTGTCTACCGCGTCTTATTTACCATGTGCTACCTACCAGTAGCCAGGGCCTGCACGAGGGCGTGGTCGCGGGAGAGCGTGGGCACCACGTGGTCAAGGGCGTAGAGGCCGGCGGCAGCAAGCATCCCCACCTGTCTCATCCCTCCACCCAGCACCTTCCTCAGTCTCCTAGCACTGAGAGCGTCATCAGTCATCAGTGAATTAGAATAGGAAGCAGAGAGTGTTACAGTCATTAGGGAATGTGTGTATATATATATATATATATATATATATATATATATATATATATATATATATATATATATATATATATATAAATATATATAATATTATATATATATATATATATATATAATATATATATATATATATTATATATATATCAATAACAACACTGCGACTAGCCAAGGACTCGAACGCATGTTGCTTTGGCCTGCCTCATGGTAGGCGAAAACTCGACACCTTAATCAACTGGACCAACGGAACTGAATGTTGTACTCGCTACCCAAGGACATACGTTGGTGTGGATACTGTGGTTCGAGTCCTTGGCTAGTCACAGTGTTGTTATTAATCAATACCACCCGTTAGTGGGCACAATAATATAAAATACTGCTCGTTGTACTAATACACCAAACAGGGACTAGAAAGAAATAAGCCTAGAGTCATCCACACCAACGTATGTCCTTGGGTAGCAATAATAAACTTACTTACTTACTTACAACATCCAGTTCCGCTGGATGCATTAGTCTTAAAGATTGTATGGTCCAATGTACTAAGGCGTCATGAGTTTTCACCCACCATGAGGCAGGCCAAAGCAGCATGGGTTCGAGTCCTTGGCTAGTCGCAGTGTTGTTATTGATCAATACCACTCGTTCGTGGGCAGAATATATATATATATTATATATATATATATATATATATATATATATATATATATATATATATATTATATATATATATATATATATATATATAAGTAGTGATGAAGGCGGCTCAGGCAACCCTACCTCTGAGCGGACCCCTTTTCACACCTATGTGCTAATGACCTTTTTCACACCTATGTGCTAATGACCTTGACCTCGCCCTCGAGACCCCTCGCCCTCGAGACTACCTCGCCCTCGAGACCACCTCGCCTCGAGACCACCTCGCCCTCAAAACCCCCCCCCACCCCCCCACCCCGCGCCCCACCAGCGCCCCCCACCCCGGGGGCCCCCCCCCCCAC